AAAGCGCAGACTGAATAAATTAGAAAGTCTACGCGACGCTCCGGCTCGGCTCCTCCGGGCGGCGGGCCGCCGTCGGCGTGCGTGTCTGCGGCCTCTCCCCCTCGCCTGTGTGCACGACCAAGGCTGGAGGGGAAGTGCGGTGGGCTCGTGTGTGAGGCTGGCCACTTCCCCTCCAGCCATGGTGTGCACGACAAAATCACGACACGGACAGACATCACGACCTCCGCTTAAGGCTTCGCGTTTTGCGCTTTAGCGCACGCGAAGCCTAATAAGCTTAATCGTTTCCCCGCAGGGGAAAAAATGACTTCGTTGTGAGGATCAGTTATGTTTGGTAGGCTAAATTCGATAGCTGGAATCAAGAATCCGATACCCACAAAGGGTTGGTCGCCACGACCGGATCCAGTCTCTTAAAAATTTGTACAGCGAGTTGACGAGTAAGCGAGCAGAAACGAGTATTGTCGGAGTTGGCGCGAATATGGGCGAGTTGGCGCGAGTATTGTCGAGTTCGGGTCAATAAGTCAATAATTGGCGAGTTCAAGCGGTCCCCCACCCACTTTGTCCACGTCCACAGTAAAAATGATACATCTTGTAATTCAACAAGATTGCTTGAAATTCAAGGAAAAATGCCTTGGGTTCCAAGCAATCTGCTTGAATTCAATCATTTTTCTCGGCCGTGACCTGCAAGGAGCCCTGCAGTGCTGCAGGTTTCACTCGCGAAAGGCCCCCCACGAGCCAACTCGTTGTACCCTTTATTTTTTAGCTTTAGAAAGGATTAATGACTGCTTGTTTGCCCGCGTCGAACGACGTACCAGAAAGTCTGTCCGTCATTTACGTTCCGAAATTTTTTAGCCAACGCAAGCCCTCCTCGCGCCGGACAGGTAGGCAACATCATGCCCCCGAGTGCATGGGCGTACTGCGGGATGGCCTACACTGTGTCCTGCAGGCGCCGATCTGCTGAATGCTGGATGAAACTGAGAAAAACGGACGTACTCTCTATGGACAAAAGTGTATACAAATTTTGCCAAAATCCTTAACAAATAAGGCATTAAAGAATATCATCCCTACAACGGCATTAAAACTGCACAAAGGTGTTAAAATTTAATGCCTTTGGACACGTGTCTTTCGTGCCTTTGCAAAGGCATTAAAACACTACTAGAAGGCAGTAAGTCCTACCTTTGTTTTCCCAGTGCGAGGATGCGTTCCTAAGCACATCTTTAATAGATGCAAATTTGTATGTGGAGATACAAAATTGTCCTTTCCAATATAGAGTGCGTACCAAAGTGTCCACCAGACCAGCCACCTATATTAACGACAATAAAAATCAACGTGAAAAGAAATATTTAACTTCCAAAACCGTTTTTATTTTTAAATCATGAGTACAAAATAGCCCTGCTTTTTTGAACGCAGTTGTTTGAATGTTGATGAACGTTTGTAACCTAAGTACAAATTTCTGCTGACATAGTTATGTAAAAAAATGTACGCAGCCCATCAGTGTGCAGCTCCCCCCCCCCCCACCCCCCCTTTTCTCCCGTCCCCCTATTTAATCCGCAGCGACGTCAACATATTTGATAAGAACTGTCAGATGGAAACTGTGTTTCCGCGAAAATGCCGTGAGGGGAGGAGGAAGCGCGAGGGGAGGCGCGGGGGCCGCGGAATGAATTATGCAGGCCCAGGACTCCGTCAAGGCGGCCCCGTACCAGCCCTCCCCTTCGTGAGGCGAGAGGTTACCACAGAAAATTAATAAAAATGAACGCCAACAACGCCTCACTGCAAATAATGGAATGAGGTACAAACGCGCCCCATGCAAGGATGCATACACGGCTGGCGTTCTTAGCAGGGTGGCCAAAACTCGACAAAATTGATGAATACTTTGGTACCACAACGGTAAAATACCGATAGGGTTTCCGTGCGTTAGAACAATAAATCCTGTACTACTCTGCACCGCTCTAGTCAACCAACCACAGGCTTATTTGCCGGGGTCTTACCGCACCTGGGGACGCGCTTTTTCAACGCAACTTTCCTCTGCCCCGAGGCGTTTCTTCGGCCGCCACCAATTATTTTCGCACCAGGGGTCTCAAATTACGCCATTTTTCCAAATAACAGTGATAAGGGGAATCTCGGGAGCGGAAGGCGCAGGAAACATCAAAGAGGTAGGTATACACATTCCTATAGAAACGTACATACCAAGTACAACTGAAGGGGGAGAGGGGCAAGGGGGGGGGGGGGGGGTGGAGAGAGAGAGGAGGGGAGCGAGAGAGAGAGCAGCCCTGCCCTGTGCCCCATCATTAATCACCAGCTGGACCAACCCGTGCCGCAGCCCATGAGTGCCGGCCATGAGCCCCGGCCATGAGACCGGACTCGCCGGAGGCATTGGCCAGCCCGGAGCGCCCGGAGCACGCCCATGGCCAGGCCGCGCCCCCTGCAGCCGGGGGGGCCGCAGGGGGCGGGGGGGAAGGGGCTCCGGCCATACCGCCTCTCTCTCTCCCTTATGTACCTCCGGCGCCCCGCAGCCCCCTCCAGCCCCTCCGAAGGCGGGGTAGAGGGGACCGAGGGAGGCCCCTTCCAGACCCCCTCTAAATCCCTTGCAAGGGAGGGGGCGGGGGCTCCTTTTCACGTGGCGCACTGTGGACTCGGCGCAAGGCAAAGCGATTCGGGAAAGGGGTACGAAGGGGAGGGGCTCGCTTCCCGGCGCCGCCCACTCCGCAGGAGGCCGATGTCCACTGGGTAACAAGTGAGTGCACTGGAAACGCAAGTGTGTGAATGTCGCACACTTGTAGGTGTGTGAATATCCATTCGTACACTTAGGGGGGGGGTTAAACGTGTGAATTTTTCCTACAAAATTCACACGTTTACCCCCGTAAGTGTACGAATGGATATTCATACACCTGCAAGTGTGCGACAGTCACACACATGCGTTTCCCATTAGTGTGCCGAAGGCTTGATTCTGCCATCATGCGTAAAGTCATTTTTTATTTTTTTTTAATTGTGGTTCTTTTTTTTAAGGCCCTCTTTGGGAGATTTGCAAAATAAAGCGACATATTTAAAGTACCCCACCCCACCCCTCGAAAGAGGCGTAGTTTTGTGCACGACCCCTCTTGTCGGCGTGCGCTGTGCGCGGTGGGCGCGCAGGGCAGACGGATGAGCGCGGTTCAACGCCCTCCCCTGAGCCGTCACTTCCAATCACAGGGCGTAAGTGTCGGCCCGCGACGTCGCCGCCGACGACGCTGTTCGATGGGGTGTTAAAGCGCAGACTGAATAAATTAGAAAGTCTACGCGACGCTCCGGCTCGGCTCCTCCGGGCGGCGGGCCGCCGTCGGCGTGCGTGTCTGCGGCCTCGTCGTGAGCCTGGGGGTGTTTACTATCAGAAAATGGTACGGAGTACTCGGAATCACACTGAAGTACGTGGTATTGTGTTGCAGTCAAAATTCAGAAATTTTGAATTTTTTCTTAGGTTTTTGGCATTTTATTCCAGGCGAGGGGTGTCCGACTCGTTTAATAGCGCGCACGTCAGGCGGACTTTATCGTACTAGACTTTCGGAATCATCACAGCTTCTGCTGTGAAGCATCCGACTTGTTTTTCTGCCTTGCTAAAGATAACTGCGGTCCTATAACGTCCATAAGGAAAGATTGGCACTTTTGGAAATACCCATTCCACTGGGGTGTTATTGGCCTCGTAAATCCCCTGTAAACAGAAGTGATCACAGCTTTTATCTATATGATATATGCTATTTTGTGTTTGAAGCCGTAACAGAGCAGTTTAGGATCTTCAACATTAATAACTGGAAAAAAAACAGGAGTTGCGGTACTTACAGGTTTTAGTATGCACTTGCCCTTTGTTTCTTTCTGCTTCAAAATTTGCGAGTAAAAATGAGGTACGAGTACTCTTATTAATGTGCATCCCTTATCTGGAAACGGGTAGATAAAGGCGTTTTGCTTCCATTGGTTTTGTGCCCAAAGATCCACTATAATTTTTACCTGTTTGAATGAAGATTGGTATTGACACATTTAATCGTCCCCCAATATGCCACATTTTCAGTGGCGTCTTCTTAGTTTTACGATAGGTATAAAGAAATATGTAACAGCCGGTAAAAGCAATATTTTACCCCGAGGCTATCATCAACGGTTGTATTCACACCAGTTATGTTACCGGTCAGGCGTTGTAGTTCTCTTGGTTTTTGTGGGTTGAAGTGACTAACTCGTAAACGAAATGTCCACGCCAATTCCACGTTGTTTTCACAATTGTAAAAACGGTCGACATAACAAATGTAAGGGCCCTGAAACGTAAAAAGAGATTCGAAATTGCGATGTTAAAATCGCTGTGATCATCAGTGTACAAAGTAAAATGTTACGGTGAAAACCCTGTGTTGATGACGTAGGCCTAGTCCAATTAATGTTCACGTATGGACATTTAACTTACTAACTTACCGCAAAAGAGTTGATAGCTTTGCCGTGGATGCCTTCGTCCTGGCACAGGAGTATGAGCATAGCCACGAGTTTGAATGCCATTTTGGATCGCTGCTCTCTGTCAAGTCAAATGTGTACATAGTACACATTAAAGAAAGTGTACATGGCATGTATGCTTTAATTAATGTGTACATAGGCATGTACACATTAAAAGATGTGTACATGGGCATGTACACATTTATAAATGTGTACATGGGCATGTACACATTTATAAATGTGTACATAGCCATGTACACATTAATTAAAGCATACATGCCATATACACTTTCTTTAATGTGTACTACCAGGTGGCTGATTAACCCCGCGCACTTCTGTAGTTAGACTGTACCGCACGCACGAGTGCGGGCGGGTTGCCTACTCGCCCGGCCCGTAAGGCGCCGTGGACAGGGGCGATAGGCAAGCCCGCCCGCACTCCTGCGTGCGGTACAGTCTAATTACAGAAGTGATCGGGGTTAATCAGCCACCTGGTATGTACACATTTGAGTTGACAGAGTACCTGCTGCTACCGCGAGGAAACCTTATTCCACGACCAGAGGTTGCAGCCGTGTTCGTCGAAGTCCACCGCCTCCTCTGCTGTGCGACCTAGGTATGCTGCGCTGCGGCCATGGACAGCACGGCCAGCACGGGAGTGCTGCTAGAGGCTGGCGTGCCAAAACAAGATTGGTCACACGATTTCCCACTAATGCAGAAATCGCTTGTCCCTAATGCAAAGCACGCACGACACTCAGCCGCTGGCAAAAGGACGCACAGCGGAGCGCCGCTGGCGAAACCACGCACAGCGCAGCGCCGCTGGTGAAACCACGCATAGCATGGCCACTGGCGAAACCACGCAAGTGCATTTTTCAAAAAAATTGAGATATCTATATATTTTGAAAGAGCGTGATTTCCTCTTTCCAACGGTATATGTCTCCAAAAATCACCAAAAAGTGCACTTGCGTGGTTTCACCAGCGGCGCTCCGCCGTGCGTGCTTTCGCCACACCCAGAAAGAAAAAACTGTCCTTGATCCAAGTGCAGAAATGTATTAAACTTTATGTACTCAACTTGTGTACTTAAGCTGAGTGCATTTTGGGATCAACTTTTTTGATCACATCGTGTACTTGAATCTAGCGCAGTCGACGAGGCAGTCGACCTCTGGTCTCCTGGGGTGGCACCTCACCACGCTCGGCTGTGAGGGCTAGTGTGAAGGGGATCGTAACAAACAAAGCCCTGGGTGAATATAAAAAGAAAAAAAATGTGCATTTTCATGTAATGATCAGTCCAAAATATCCATTCTTATTCTTTTCATAGTTCCATGTTTCGTCTTCGAGATGGGTTCTGGTGGTCGGATGTTGTTAATTGGCACCCCCAAGTTACATTTTTAAAGTTCAACGACGCTGTGATCACGGATCCAGGTTAGAGGACAATTCTTGCAAAACTCGCTCAACTACACTTAATTCGACAACAGAGAACATATTAATAGTACACCCATATTTAAATGCATTTTCGGGATTTCTGTAAAGGTATAAAAAAAGCAGCGGGAACGGAGTTTATTTTGAAAAAGTCATGCACCAAAAAAAGGCTTTTTGTAGTTGTAGACGCCTTTTTGAAACGTGGTCAGTCTTCGCGCCCTTTTCTCAATTGGACAGTTGATACCTGTACATACTTTTTCAACGCCAAACTTTCCGAAGCTTCAACCTCTAATCTCGTGGAACAACTTCGATGCTCTGTAGCTCTGTGGGCATACAACTTAGAAAATCAGCTCAATGTGTGGATGTACCTTGCAAACCTAGACCAAAGTGGAAGTGTGGAAAGCATCAGCGTTCAGTTTTGACAAGCAATAATAAAGCACCCCGAAAGGAACAAGGGGGGGGGGGGGATGGGGGCTGGACAACAATCCAGACGAAGCCTTGGATCGAATGTCCATGGTTTCTCTAATTGGCTGAGCGATTAGCGAAGCCTATTACTCCAGTGATGATCCAAAAGTTTCGCGTCTGTCTGTTTGTCTGTCTGTCTGTCTATACGCACCCCGGGTGGAAGGATCTAATGCAAAACTGTAGACCTAACTACAGTTTCTCCTCGTACTGTGTCAATCTAAAGTTAAACTGCTGTTACAAGTGCAGTATCGAGTGCAGATCCTTCCATCCGGGACGATAACTCGAAAACGGTTAGACCCAGAAGGCTCTTATTTTTATTGCCACTTTGTATTATAAAAAGGAAGAACTGTATTGATTTTGAGCCCTCTGGCTCAAAAATTGACGTGTCAAAAAAATCAAAAACAAAAAGCCTAAAACATTTCTATTGAAAAATATTTGTTTGCATCTTTCTCAGAGGTAACACGTCAAAGTAGAGTCCTTTGGACCAAAATTGTGTCCGTTTGGCTCTATCTCGAACCGTTTGGGCTCCAGAGGGCGTTTTTCAGACGGAAATGACCCCGCAAAACATTTTAATGTTTTTTCTCAGATATTTGATGGGGTTACTCGTCAAAATAAAACCCCAAGGAGAAAATTTGTGACTTTTGGGGCCGAAGGCCCATTTACGACTCTGCCTCTTGCCGCTCTTGCCCGACTCGGGTGTCAGCGCCGCAGGCCTAGGTAGATGTATGCCAGGCGCGTCGCAGCGTAACAGTGTTTCGAGAGATATCGCGAAGCCTGTTACGCGAGACGTGGTCTGGCGTACATCTACCTAGTTATCACTGTCCTACTGTGCTCAGCTGTGACTTGATCCACCCGCCCGCAACTCGTGGTAGACTGTGGGCGGTCAGCGTGGCGCGATATTCAAACAGATAATGTTTTAAATGTAAGTTGTGCCCTACAAACGCATACAGAGGTAGACATCAGTACTGGAAATGCACTGAAAGCGTGTAGCGATCTAGCCAGAGAAATTTCCACCGAAAAAGTTAACTCGGATATCAAACATAAAGAGAAAAACCGAGACCTGCCCAAAAACGTCCTCCGCCATCTTGGATTTTTTCACCGCATATGCCCTACAGCCTGAACGGTGCGTTGCACAACCGAATGGGTAGTACCGCTGGATTCGTTGGGGGCGACTTTGGGGGGGACTACTTAGGTGTAAAAATCGCTAGGACATACCCTAAACCAAGTTCCTAAAGCAGTCCAAAGAACTGATTACAGCAGAGATTAAGATTTAAGTTCGAGTACATTTTATACTCAGTTGAATCAAGTACATGTGCTCGACTTCGCATAAGCCTGTGTAGTCTCACGAACCAGTCGAAAAAAAAGTGAGTCCAGAACGTAGTTCTGATGGATAGCAATTTGAACTTAGTCCGAGAAAAAAATACTTGAACCGGCGTCAGTTTGCACTCCAATACGGACAATCCGAGGGCAGAATGGTATCGATCACCAGCTCGAATTTTCAAGAACAAAATGCACTCAGTTCAAGTGAAGAATGGCATTGATTCAGTTGATCCCAAAATGCACTCAGACCGAGTAAAATGTACTCATTCCGAGAACAGTTTTTTCTGGGTGCAGTGGCTGAGCATCGTGCGTGGTTTGCATTAGAGACAAGCGAAATAATGAACAAAAAAAGGGAGTTGTAAAAAAAGAGGCTAGAGCTGATCGCGGCTGATTGTTACAGAGCGGCACACAAACACAGTTTCGCTGTCGGTGCGGTCACTCTCTAAATGTCAAGGACAATTTTTGTAACTAGCACCGGACTTCTGCGTGCATAACTGAATTCAGATACATATTGTGACTTGCTAGTCACTAAATGTGTGTTGGTAGTTACAATATTGTATCTGAGCTACTTATGCACACAGAAGTCCGGTGCTAGTTACAAATATTGTCCTTGGACATTTAGAGTGGTGGCATCAATAACGTGCCAACTGTACAGAGAGTAGCCTATTATTTTGTAGGCATGGAAGGATACTGTCTACTGGCTACTGGTCGTTCTGGTCCTAGTGCGTTCTCTTCCGTCAAGATTCCAGGGTATATACTGGAAAAACAAAGATAGGACTCGAAACTTTTTAATGCCTTCACATAGGCATAAAAATTAGCGACCCTGCAAAGACATTAAAACTGCCCAAAGGTGTTAAAACTTAATGCCTTTGCACACCTTCGTGCCTTTGCAACGGTATTAAAATTTGACACCCCTGCTAAAAAGGCATTAAGTCCTACCTTTGATTTTTCAGTGAACCGTGAAATATCCTGATGAGGTGTATATATCTGATAACTCTGTATACAGGGTCGTCCAAGATGGAATACCAACTCGGTCGCGAACCTACAGGGGCGAAGTTAGGGGCCAGGCAATCCGAGACCCGGCCTTTTAATTTTCAAGAGTCGATTTGGGCCTTATACAGTCGGACTCGATTAAGTTTCTCGCGAAATGGCGAAACTTTCACTCCCTTTCCCAGGTTTTATAGAGGAGTAAGGAGGTCATCCCGTGGAGTGCCGCCCTGGCGCTCACTCAGGTGAGCGTCGCACGCGCACGCCCCCCCGTTCAGATAACTCACTGACAGCCTTCAAGAGGGAGGGCACAATCAAATTATCGTACTAGAACTAGAAAAAAAGAACAAGACTTCATTTCCAAGCCACCAGGCGAATTTGCACTCTTAATTCGGCGACAGTGTCGGGCCGGGCCGTGCCGTGCCGTGCCGTGCCGTGCCGTGCCGTGCGGGGCCATTTCTGGACCGGAGGACCGGGAAGGACCACGTTGGCGACTCAAAACCACAAAACCGTAAATACGACCTCTATTTTCTACGAGTAATTCTTCCAGAAATTCCCACAAATTTTTAGCAGTGCATTTATGGGATGGCTGCACACTGCCCAGCAAGGTATACTGTACCGCAACGCTGGTGCGCGCGAGGGTTGCCTATCGCTACTGTCCGTAGCGTCTTCGGGTGGCTGGTGG